GAAGAAGAATAAACATCGCTTAACAAACCTGTTCGGCACTGAAGTAATCAAAAATACAACGAATGCCTAGGTTACATGAAAACAGGACTTGGAAATTGCTAGAGAACAGAAAATATCAAATGGCAGGCGAAGTTGGCACCTTGAGAAGTTTAACTACATCCTTCTCAGTATAAGTATACTGTAAAACCCTTCAATGCGAAATTACAGGGATCGTTAACAGTGGGTCCAAAAGCCTGCATGAGCGAAGCTTCACGTCACTACAAAATCATCAATATTTCAGCCAAAACTTGCGGTGAGCTTGAAAGCGAAGAACGAGGAAGTATCAAATAGCACGATTTCGTCGAAAAATTTGTCCATGAAGGTTATCCGACATGCTGATTACGAAAACCGCTTGAAACCATTTGATTTCCAAGATACCTTCTTATTGCACGTTTACGGTAAGGATTTAGGTGAATGTTAATTTCTCCATAGCTTGCTAGCCATTTTGGCCTTCATATCAAAGGATTTTCTGGCTCTGTAAGCTCGATATAAAAGCTGGAAAGCTGCTTTATGAACATGCCCTGTGTATTCTCTATCTGTGGTAGACTCTATAGTCCTTGTAATGTGCCCTTACAAAAACCCCGCAAAGCATAAGTGAAGACATCGATCAAAGCGAAACTCAACTCTGGTAAAATTGCATGCAAATCAAAGGACTGATGCCAAATTGGCTTTAAATGATGATGCAGACTTGTGGTATATATAGTCGTGGACTTTGCTGATCCAAGTATGACACTGCATCGTTTTTCGACTGTATCCCTACAGTGTGCCATCCGCAGCAAATGAAGTATCGTCGGTTTATTTGTAGCTCAGTATGTATACTTCACACCACCGCGTTACGACTCGTAAAACTGAAAGCTGTTAATTTCCTGAAACTCTTCCTTACATTCTGCTCTTTTTTAGTTTGGTTGTATTGGGTACCAGCACACGTTATCAAAGGTTGTTCCATCAAAAAAGTACTGACGAGTTTTTAGTAAAATGTCGTCGCTTATCCCGCGCAGTGTGCGGACTCACATATGTATTAGGTTGTCCCGAAAGTTTTGTCCGTTTTTTTCACCGTTCACTAAAACTCACACAACAACATTCCATGGACGACTTAGGTACCATTTGACTCAGATTTTTAACCTCTTTCTTATAGCTATGTTTGCTCTCTGATCTACCCTGTCTTTGCAATGTTCTCGCCATGGCGTTTTGAGCAGTCCATCAGTAACGCCAAATCTTTCCTGAATTTTAAAAATTGTTATCCTGATGTTTCCAAAGAGCACTGATAACCATTATGTAGAGCAGACCTTTGGCTACATCGTATCCATTTTAGATTACATGGACCACGTTTACTAAGTCCGTTAAAATTACTTATTCAATAAAAACCGCGGCTTTTTGACTAGGTTCAGCACGCAAAAGTACCGAAAATTCCAAAAAGCAGATTTTTGAAGCAAATCAAACTTGGTTATGTTGCATAAATAATGCTTAATAAAAAACAAGTTTTAATTTGCGAAAACTTTGAAAGCTTTCATGTTTTTGCTGCAGTTGCGCGTTTCATGACTTTGCCAAAAATCGAGACTTTCGAAGAAATAATTTTTCGGAGCTAAAAACTGCAGATTAGGAGTACCTAAAAATACTGCCATATAGTCCGAGAATTGCTCTATTTAAACCATACTCAAACTTTTCCGGAACCCTGAAACGAAATTGTAAAAAATTAGCCGAACTTTGAGCAGATAAAAACGACGGGTGAGGAATTTTAGCAATTATCAGAAAAAGCATAAAGGGTTTTGGCTCGAATATGTGCCCACAAGAAAGAGAAGGAAAAGCTGCATCGAATGCTTGTTGAAGCTCTTTCAAGTCTTCATTGTGCGTGGTTTTATGGTGGTTTGAAAAAACCGACAAAACTTTCGGGACAACCTAATATTTGCAAACAGCTCGCGCATGATTATTGCAATAAACGCACCATACAGCCGCTTTGAATTTCAAACATGCGAAGTGACTTTTTACTGTACTACCTGTGCACACAAAGTGCCACCGACAGCAGATCACTGTAAATGTTACCAGCCCACTGAGCAATCTTCAAACAAAAATCTACGTGAAGACTAGCGTTTACTTACCGTAACCTCATAGACTGTGACACGTCTATACATTCGAAAATGCGCCTTGCCGAGCTAAGTTGAGTGGTACTCTTTCATCTAGAATCCATAAACTCTGAATCGAGATAACCTGGATTCCGACGAACTGTTGAGTAGCTGGGCGGCGACCGCCTAACTTGGGTGCTCGCCGCTTGACTTCGGTGGTCGCAGCCGCCGCCTGAGTTAAGCGACCGCCGCCATCTTTTTCCAAATTAAAAGTGGTATTGTATATAGCCTTTCCAGAAAAAAAAACTCCATATTCGTCGAACGACCTCACGTTGGAAGTAGCACCGACCTCGTACGTGTACTTCTTGTTTGGCGCGATGCTAATGTCTTTAAGAGATTGCAATCTTTTATCGCATAATGATTAACCACATCATACCCTCTGATTATGTTCAGTCAGCGGAATGGTCGCAGCTGGGTACCTTGCCCAAACCATCTGAAAATGGCCCGTAGTAAACCCCCATCAGGGCATCATCTCTCTCGATGCGCACCGGAGTTGATTTCATCACGCCTCAGTCTAGCATCCAGTGGGCTATTGATCTGGATGCGGATCGCTTTCCAATCATGATAATCATGTGTATTTTTGAAAAAGAAACCACTAGAGTCAATTTGGTCGACCAGGTAAGCGACTGGAATTGAATGTTCGCGGCCATGGTTCAACATCGGCCACCGCCGCATTTTTGCTGTATGCCTGGCGTCTTTGCGACCACTATCGCAAAATCGACGATGACCGCTATCAAGAATCTCGCCTAGCACATGCATGGATAAAACAAAAACACATTTTTTAAATTTTCATGAAAAAAGGTTGCAATATGAACTCGATGTAGATTCTTGCCTTAAGAAGCTTTTCGAAAAAAGTCAATAGGCTCTACAAAAAAGAAGAAAAATCTGTCTTCCTTTTGACACCAAAATCAGCTGTTCATCGATTCTTCCTTTCGGGCCCCCCGTATTGTGCAATTTTTGAGCCGATTTTGTCTGCAGTGTTAGGCAGATTGGTGTGTATCGCAAGTTAGTCAGGAGCAACTTACGGGAGTCTTGTCTGTGTCTCCTCTTTTACACACTATTTGCATCACTCTAACATCAGTTCACATTCAGGTCAACTGAGCGTGAACTGATGTGCACGAGTTGACTGCAGCAGGTGGAGGTCAACTATCAGTTCACTCGCCATTATAGCATGGGAATGTGGGCGGTCATCTCACCTGAGATTTATTTTGGCATTCTTCAGGGAAATCGTAACTTTTCATAGAGACGCTCAATCGGCGCAAACTTTGCACTGTTAAGAAGAGCTTGTGGAAGAACCTACAATATCGACTGCTCCGATTTTTGTCGCGAGTTTCCGATCTTTTATGACCCTACACAGAAAATTCGAATTTTGACTGATTTTCTTCTACCTTTCCTATCTATGCAACAGATGTTCATTAGTAAGCGACTAAAATGTCGTTATGAAGAGCATGACTTTCTCTTTCATACAAAAATAAAAGCAGTCAAATCGGTTGGAAAAATCAGAAGTTATGAATTTTTGAATTTGGTGCGAAAGAACTTTTGGGACGACCTAATATAATGAACCGATCCAAATGTCCCAAATAATAGGTTGTCAAAAATCAACTCCTTTTCGAATAATTCGGCTGCTTTTGTTTTCCTAGCAGATTCGGGCAACATTCGATAGAGCAAAGCAAGCTCTATAAAATTATCACCATAGATCTACCTAAATATTAATCCGGGTAAGGCTAGGAGGCAAAATCGAAAAAAATTTTGTCACCTGAAAAATGAATAGTTGGAGAGAAAATCCCATGAATCCCAAAATCCCAATCTAATTCCAAAAGCTTCCTACAGAAAGTATATAGTAGTTTACAAAAATGATTCAGTATTTATTCCCGCGCAATAAATCGAGAAAAAAATTAATTGTCCGAGAATGGCGAACTCTGCACCCAGCTCCTTACTGCAAGCCTTAGTGATTACAATCTTGAAGTCAGATCTCTACCTGTGCTCTTGAAATCGTGAAATACGAAGCTCAACATAACACAAAAAAAGTGAAACCTTTGCATTTTAGAGCTACTTCTGTTTCATAATTGAGCTACGAAAAAAACTTAGTAAATGTATTTACGAGCACTATTCTGTGTCTATTCTATGCTGACCAATATGATGCTCCGTAGAAATTTTCTAGAAGCAGGTCGGATTTTTGAACTACTTGAAAGATTTTAATTTTTCTTCCAAACTTTACCCAAATTCCGCATATTCGGTGTTCATTATGCAGAGCTTGCTTTACTTTATCGATTGACACCCCAAATCTGCTAGGAAAGCAAAAACACTTATTATTATCAAGAAAAGTACTTTTGGGAGAGCTTCTTAGTAAACGTATCCGCATTCAAGGCTACACTTCTTACACTTTACTTCAACGACTCAAACAAAACACAATATCGAATTACAAAACAGAAATTTTATAAACATATTACACGCACTTCTGCAGAATTCCACAAAACTTTACTACCGCGCATTCGTGGAAGAGAGCAGCAGTATGCAAACGTTAAGAATGAAAATGAAAAAAGAAATAGAAAGCATGTGCAAAGATCAGAATCAGCAGACAAAACTGGGATAACTTCAGATGATCAGTGACACTGACACTTTTCAGTGAAATGATTGATTATTCAAATCAGATAATCATGAATGTCATCAAAAACCTATCAAAATGATCCTTAAAATGTCAGCCATTTCATGTAGTACAAAAAGCGAAACAAGAGCAGAGAGTTTGACAAAAGATCATTATACGACGTATACTTTAGTCTCTATGATTGAGGTTCGCTCCCTGATCGAAGAGAAAGAATGTGGATTACTGTAGCGCAGCACTTACGGCTGAAGACTTTATCAACATTCGAGCTTGACCGCTAGTTTGCTCTACACCTCACACAACAACGTTGTATATGTCGGACATGTTGTCGAATCTGCAATTGGAATAAAAATAAGTTTGGAAAAGAAAGGATAATAACAAAACGGATTCGAGATTCGAACACGAACTTCGTAATTATAGCGAGCATGCGCCACTACTATAATCCAATTTATAATCTAGAAGTTTCTGTTTGAAGCCTTACTGAAACAAGATAGAATATTCTATGTTTTATGCGAAAAAAGCGATTCACAATATTATGCTTGCACAAGAACTATGTAATACCATTTGATATCATCTGCCAGGCTGTCCGGAAGCAGCAAAAACTGCAGCAAAAACTTTGCAACGTATTCCCTCTAACTCCAACGAATTCATTTCCATTACAGTAGTTTGAAGAAAGTCATGTGCTTCCTACTAGTACCCCTTTACGAGCCCTCGCATCAGCGCCAAATCGCGCGCGATCGCACGCCAAGTATGACCGATGCCTTGCACGATACAAATCGCTAAATATACAGAAAGGACCTATATAACCTGTTTTTTTTTTGTTATAAGATCTTAGAGTACTCTTTGTAAATCAGCAAAATTCGTGCTGCTTAGATGGTTTCATTGATATAAGCTCGGCTAAAAAATAATGTTGGGCGTTCTAAACGGTTTGTACAAATATCACAGATAGATTTATGCGTATATATGTGACAATTGAAAAGAGTTAATCAACGAGATTCGGATGATTAACTCTGTCTGCTCAAAAGTCATTTTTTGACGACAAAATGGTGAAGGAAAGCCAGCTTTCTTTGTTAAATTTCCGAACTCATTCAAAAATTGAGAATCAATTAAAAAATCCAGAAAACGCTGAAAATTGGTGCAAAGCACACCGATGGTACCCATACGATTTAATGTTTCCAACCATCTGCATTGTAATAGATGGTAGCTTTAAGTATCTGGACTACCCGAATATTGACCTCCTTTAACCTTCTTCAACGAATGCCTTTTTTTATCTCAAAATTTTCACATTTTATGAATCTAAAATATTAGGTTGGTGCAAAAGTAATGCGCGTTTTGCGAGTTCTCACTTTGACGTGCTATAACTTTCTAAAAAAACCATATTTTTCAGCGCGGCAAAGTCCCCCAGAGGCATCAAACCTCTCTCTATACAGTGCACATTAATTTGTGCTAACATCGCAAAACGGTGAAAAAATATGGATTGATAAGCAAAAAAAAATTTTTTTCGGAAACCTGGTTTTTAACTGATCATAACTTCCTCCAAGATTTGTTGGTATAAATGAAAAGCTGACTGTCTTGTAGCTGCAAGCCAGTAGTACAAATAAAAGTTGAAAGCGGCTCAAACAAAGAAGATTTGCGAGAAGAAAAAATAATATTTAAAATTGTCCGCTTTTTTCGACATTTTTCCGTAGCCCTCAAAATCCCAAAATATGGAGATTTTTGATTTTCCATGTACTGAACAGCTTCCACATTTCTGCAAAAACTGTCAACAAGAGGCCCACCCTTACGCTTACAGGAATGAGCAAGACTTTGGCGATTGCCCTCTTCAAAGGAAATCTATGGACCACAGAATGGTCAAAATCATCACTCATGTTGGGGCACCGAAATCTCAGTCTAAAGAATTTCTGAGAAAACAGCAAAGCATGCACAAAGTAGAAAATTTTTACAACATACAGTAGTTAAATTTTTAGAAGAATGCGTTTACTTGCGCTCAAATTCTGGCCAAAAAAGTAAGTGCAATGAAATTCTGGTTTCGAGTGCGGTTGTATGAAGCTCTATAAATTTTTAACGATTGAGGCTAGAAGCTTCTTTCAACCACCATTGAATAGAGCATAAAAGAAGCTTTTTCAAAGTATGCTGGGTAAATTTCATAGGAGAAACTTCGATGGAGAAAAGCTGTCTTGAAATGAGGGTAAGGGCTAGAAAAACGCGCATTACTTTTGCACCAACCTAATACTAAACAGCGTTACCTCTTGATCCTGATTGTGGCATTTATATAGGAAAAGGCTATGTGTATTTAACACCAAAATAAACATCGGTGTACTTACGATATGTAGCTCGAAAAAACTTGTAGATTAATCCATTTTTTTGAAGTTCAATATAAGAGACACATTTTTCTTTTGTAACGGTAGAAAATTCTAAATAATAAGTATGTGATAGAAGGCGATAGCAGCGGTTTCAAGCTACTCATATACAAAGAAAAATCATAGCTGAATAACAGTTATATGAATTGTGTTAGAGCTTCGTCGCATGTCAAAACGAAATTATTCATTAGCTCAAATTTGCTCGACATTCCGTTTATGTTGCGAATAAATTCCTATTGCGCATGTTAAAATAGAACCTTAAATGCTACAAAAACACACGATCTAGACTGAAACGCGATTTTAAACATTTATCTCATTTTTTTTCAAATTTTGGTGCAAGATTCAATCAGTGCTCATTTTGTGATCCCTATATGAAGCTATCGGTTGTTTCACTCGTTTCCATTTAGATTGTTTTCACCATTATTTGTTTATTCTGACGCGCAAACACTCTCAATCGTCACCTTATGCCGCTTGAAATCGGATCCATTGGCTGTTCTCACCTCCCTGTTCAAACAAGGACTACGAAATTAATTTGGTCTGCAATTGAACACGTTTATTGGCTAACAGATGTGTGACCGCGTGAGCTACGTTGTGCTCCGCTAACGCTCTGAGAAAGGGCCATTTTCCAAGGGACACTGACGACACGTTCCGGTTCAACGAACCCCTTGATTAAGTAGTCACTCTGTCGCTCAAAGGCGCAACCATCCAAACAAAGAGTCTGAGACCCTGATGCCGTATAATGGAGGAACTCCCCAACCCAGCTAACGCTCAAATCCAGCTGAAGAAGATGAATTTCGAAGTGAGAAAACCGCTCTAGAAGTAGAAGGTAGAAACTCCACGCTGGCTCTGCCCATCAATTTGTATGATCTGAAGAAAAGAGGTTTAAAACTGGACTCTAGGGTAGATAGAATTATCGAAGATTGATAATCATATGAGGGGCAAATTGATGAAAACTGTGGATACATAGACGCTCGATTTTGGAATTTTTATCTTCAGACCAACCCACGTCGATGAAGCCAACGTAGAGTTTCTAACTTTTGGAGCGGTTTTCTAGCTTCGAAAATCACATTTTGCAGCAAGACTTAGGCGATGGCTTGGTTAGAGGCCCTCTGATATCTTCAAAATCCCATTACCCTCGATTTGGTGGACGGTGCCTTTACGGGAAGATCAATCCTGATTCTTGGCTCTGTTTTTACCATTCTCAACTTCGTAGCCCTAATATCAAATATGAAGGGCGATATGTAAAAAACGGCAAAAAAAACCAGTTTCGGAGTTTTTGATGAGAAGAACGCTTCCGTGTTAGCTCGAATGCAAAAGCATGACTGTTCATTTCAAATGTGAAAACGCGCCATGAAATCAAGGAATTTTGTTCAAAGGGCGAAGCGCGTCTGAACGACTAGAGGACGTTTGTTTTTCGCAAGCAGGTCCGTCTTCTATCCTGGGCCAAAGCGATGATGGGCCAATGTAGATTTCTAGAGCTTTTTTGTAGGTCATTTAATCATCTGAAATGCTTGGATCTTATGTCAACCGTGCCTCCAAGCCACAAAAGAGTACTTTATGAATTTGTAGTCTAATATAGAGAAGACTATATGACTTCTGTTTTAAGGTTTTCAGTAAGAGAAAGTCTAACAAGGTAAGGATACTTAGTCGAAGTGGTGTTTTCATATGAAATGTATACTTTGTTATATAGTTTAAAACGCTAGTTCCAAATCTGTTTTTCATATTCGCAAATGGCTTCTGAAAGGGGAGCTATGGCATTTATTGAAAAGAAAATTTAAGGTCTGGATAAGTTAAAAACTGGTGTTGAGATCTTTATGCACTTAAAACGAGTAAAAACTGGCATAAGTTTATGAGACTAAGGGAATTTTCGCCTAAAGCGTTTTGGCATTAAATAATTGCAATATCACTCCCACAACGTGCAAAATTTCCGTGAATGTCGCGGACATTCCCGGAATTCCGCGCCTTTCACGGAAATTTTGCACATTCTAAGAGTGGTATTCTATGGCCCCATTTGAGCAAAAATTTCCATCTATCTCCTCTCTTAAGCGCAGTGCAGATAGGCGAAAGCAGATTCAAGAACAGCGTTTCATGTTCTATAGGACATTATACTAGCGACCCTATCGGTCGCTAGTAAGTGGGCTGGGGCAGATACACTGATAATTGTCTGCGTGCAACTAAGAATAGCAAGAGATTGGATTTCCATTTTCTCAACATTGGCTCAATGTAAGTAGTAGTAAGCAAAATCTTGCTCTCAAGGAAACTTTTCACAATGAGTAACTTTAAATCATATACGCTGTTTTTCTTACAAATACCCTAAATAGCCCAGATACAACAGCCCCTAAAAATGGTAATTAGATACCTAAGCAGTCATCTATGTAGAACAACTTATTCAATTCGAAATTCAGGCTGACTTTCAGGAACAGTGCGGCGGCTGCAAACACACCGACCTTCGCGATCATGCACAATCTTATACTCTTCTTATAATGTCTCGCGAAGTAATGTCTTGAAGCGAGACCAAAACTCGCTTAAAGCTTTCTCCTAGGCAATTTTAGCAAAAACTAGCTTGCTTACCTGGCTCCGCTCGGTCCTGTCGAAATACTGTAATGAAGGTCCCATCCCTATCCTTGTACAGCCTTCCCCTATGCCCATTTCTACACTTCATTTCCGGTTCCCTGTGTTGTTTTCGAAATCAGCATGCCACTTACCACCCTGTGCCAACTCCCAGCCCTTCAACTCAAATTTTGAAAAAATCGATAAAACTGATGAAAGTAATAGGTAATGCCAGAAACTAATAATGCATACGTAATCAGCATGTTCGATTACATCCCTGCGCGAACTCCCAGCCCTGTAGCTCAAACTTTGCAAAAGATCCATAAAATCGATAAAAATAATGGACGATTTTAAAAACTAATATTGTTCGTAATCAGCATGCTCGATTACCCCTATGCCAACTCCCAGCCCTGTAGCTCAAATT